GTTTGTGTCTCTATCATAATGCATTAATATAAGGTCTAGTTTCAGGTTGCTGTTTCCTGCGTCGGGTTATTTGTGTTGTTGCAGCAGTCCCTCCCTCTGTAGGGTTTTATTTCTATTATCGGTTGTTATCTCTGTGTTTAGTCATATACTAAACTAGCTAACGGATACTAAAACAAATTAAAACTAAAACAGAAAATAATAAAAAATAAAAAGTTGAAAGAAAATAAGAACTAATAAATTATTTCCACCTTGCTACTGACACCAGGTTTGTCTCATTTGTTTTTGTTGTGAACTTCTTAGTACTTTAAGACGAGAAAGTCTGAAAGTCAGGTTTTTTTTTTTAATTCATTTTGTCTTTAAAAGCTGTTTTTTTGTTTTTATTTGTATATAATCTAGGGCTGTCAACAATGGACGGTCAGCGGTGTGTGCCTTCAGCCTGACTGAGATCAAATCCATTTTCTCTGGTAACTACAAGGTGCTGAACAGAGACACGCTGCAGTGGAGCACAAGGGTTCAAGACAAGGTTGCAAATCCAGGAGAGGTAAAACCGCTGCTCACCCTAACCCCGGATTGTTACCACATTTATTCAACAAAAGGGTTTAAAGTGGCGTTTAGCTTCCAGCCTACCGGCCCAAGAGTTATGACTGCTACAGAGAAAGGAATCCATGCATGCGCATCTAATGGCAGCGGCGGCTGGTGGAGTTTTCTCCAGGGGGGGCCATAAATTCAAAATAGACGTATACCAAAAACCAATCAAACGTATACTACTATCACGCCAGTGTATATATATACACTGCCTGGCCAAAAAAATAAGACGCCACCTGGATTCAACTAAGCAAATACGAAGCCTCCTATTGGATAATTACTGCATGGGCGATTATCTTTCAGCTGGCAACAAGTTATTTAACCCCAACTGGTGCAATGACTTGCTTCTCATTTACTAAACAACCATGTGGAAAGACACATCCCGTGTTAGTCTGTTTGAGAAGGGTCAAATCATTGGCATTCATCAAGCAGAGAAAACATCTAAAGAGATGCAGAAATGACTAAAATTGGGTTAAGAACTGTCCAACGCATTATTAAAAACAGGAAGGATAGTGGGGACCCATCATCTTCAAGGAGGAAATGTGGCCGGAATAAAATCCTGAATCCTCGGCGATCACTTAAACGTGTGGTGAGATCCAATGGAAGAAAAACAACAGTAGAACTCAGGGCAATGTTTAATACTGACAGTAAGAGCATTTCCACACACACAATGCGAAGGGAACTCAAGGGACTGGGACTGAACAGCTGTGTAGCCATAAGAAAACCACTAATCAGTGAGGCTAACCGGAAAAAAAGGCTTCAATTTGCAGGGAGCATAAAGATTGGAGTGTGGAGCAATGAAAGAAGGTCATGTGGTCTGATGAGTCCAGATTGTCCCAGAGTGATGGGCCAATCAGGGTAAGAAGAGAGGCAGGTGAAGTGATGCACCCACCATGCCTAGTGGCTACTGTACAAGCCTGTGGGGGCGGGGTTATGATCTGGGGTTGCTGCAGTTGCTCAGGTCTAGGTTCAGCAACAGTTGTGCTCAAAGAATGAGGTCAACTGACTACCTGAATATACTGAATGACCAGTTATTCCATCAATGGACTTTACCTGATGGCACAGGCATATTCCAAGATGACAATGCCAGGATTCATCGGGCTCAATGGTGAAAGACTGGTTCAGGGAGCATGACTCATCATTTTCACACATGGATTGGCCACCACAGAGTCCAGACCTCAACCCCATTGAGAATCTTTGGGATGTGCTACAGAGGGCTTTGCACAGCGGTCAGACTCTACCATCATCAATGCAAGATCTTGGTGAAAAATTACTGCAACACTGGATGGAAATAAATCTTTTGACATTGCAGAAGCTTATGGAAACAATTCCACAGCAAATGCGTCCCGTAATCAAAGCTAAAGGTGGTCCAACAAAGTATTAGAGTGAATGGCCTTTTTTTTTTGGTGGCGACTTTTTTTTTGGCGAGGCAGTGTATATGAATGCAAACAATGAAAACAAAACATAATTTCCTGTACAGGTTTGCATTTCCTCCATAAATGTTGCTCTTCTAAGGCTTTGTGAAGGTAAATCTTGGTTCTGCATGCTCCAATATTGGGTCACAAACCTAAAAAAATAGTGAACCAGTTTAATATTGGAGAAACTATTATTCGGCTTTATATTTTTTAATGTATGAAAACTATTTTCTGAAAGATTTTTTATTCAAGAGCAACTATGCAAATTAACAAACATCTAGAAAAAGTAGACTATATTATTTTATTTTCCATATGAATCCCAGATTGTTCATTCTTCTTGGCCTTTTCTAAAAAGTGCTTCAAATCAGTCCAAGCTGTGTTTATCCATGCTGGCTCAGATCCTGATGTTTGAAAAAGGAGGCAGGGAAAGCAGAATAAAGCATTAGCCTCGCTGCATGCAGTTAGCCGAGACTTCTTGCTAAACCAGGTTCAGGAAAAGGACGTTTCTTGCACCATTT